GAAGCTCTGGAGAAGCTTGAGCAAAGTGACCCTCGACTGAGTCCTGAGGGCAAAAAGTCTGATGAAAAGAAAGAGAAGAAGGAAGACGATGATGTCGAAGAAGAGATAATCAGCAGTGGTGCTTCACGTGCCGCACCGATTCCCAGTACCGATGATGAGGAGCTCAAGACACTTCAAGCCAATATTCAGCGCATTCGATGCAAAGCTCTTATGCGAAGGGCTCGCGGTCGTTCAGAGGCTGGCGGATGGCATAATCTTGCCGGTGCAGAAGAAGACTGTAAAGCCCTCGCCGCGAAGCCTGAAAGCTTGGCTCCAGCAGACCTTCGAGTAGTTCGGAAGCAATTACGAGACTTACCTCCTCGCGTCAAAGCAGCACAAGAGAAGGAGATGGGCGAGATGTGGGGTAAGTTGAAAGACCTTGGAAATGGCATCTTGAAGCCATTTGGATTGAGCACAAACAACTTCCAGATGGTCAAGGACGAGAAGACCGGAGGCTACAGTATGAATTTCCAGCCTGGAGAAAGCTCTTAAACGGCACAACCTGCCCTTTGAAGATATCAGAGAATCTACCCTGACACTCTATTGAACCGACGAAAACTCCAATTCCCGCAATATAGAGAAAAGCAATAGATATCCCAACGCCGTCTATTTTACCCTTTTTTTTTCGCCATGAATATCTCAATTTCCAACTTTTGGCATGACAGGGCTTTCCTTGTCAACTAGGTACGTACGTACTGGGAGCATTTGGGTCATTACGATGGTGGTGGATCGAACGAGCTCGATCGACTTGGTGGTTCATACCAATTCTGGTACGGATGGTTGGGTAGCTTGAAATCGGCGAAGCTCAATGGGTTGACCGGTGTTTTCGTTCCCACAGGGCCCATGACAGGCGGTGTCAAAATTCTCGACGGTGTCAAAGACATGGAGGCTCTTCGGACCGCTGATATTACCGAATCCTGGCTGTTCTCTGTTTTCGGGCTCGAGGTGGGCATCTTCATACGCTCCCAACCCCATTCTCTCTTGAGCTCCATCTCGACGGCACCCAAGCGCCAGCCATTTGTGCTATTGAACCTGTCAAGGACCTCAAGGATCTCGTCTTGTTCGTCTGGATTCGTTAGCACAGCAGCTGCAATTGCCAAGCAACGGATCGCAACTGTGGCAACCCCCTTGTCTGTGGTATGGGCGACAATGCCGCAGACCTGATAGGCATGCTGCAGCTGCAAGAATCGTAGCCTCTCCGAAGACCCTGGGGATTCCAGGGGGTGTGTCTGCGAAAGGATGCAATGCGCAGTGTGAGAAAGCAGTTGGCCTATTGTTGCCTCCCGCTGAATCATCCTAAGCACGGATTAATCACATGCTTTAGCAGTTGGATGATATTTCACGTACCATATACCGGGAAATAGCGATTTGCTTGTCGACTTTTCCGCTTTCACGTAGCCAAAGGGGCGCATCTTTCTCGGGCAATGGATGTTCCAACCTTCACAGAGGTTTCTAAGCTCATGCCACTGAGAAAGACGATTTCTGACCCACGTTTGTTCGTTATGGGGGCTAATGTCATCGGGTCGGGACGCAGTCGCTCGGAAGTTCGCAACCTTTGCGATGATGTAGAGCGCACGGTGTACCCATACTTGCTCGTCCTCATCCTCGTCATCCTGGTTATTGCTACGAGACCCAAGGTTCATTCCCCATTCGTCGGGACTCCACGTTGTCTGCCAATTTGTTGCCAGGCAATTGAGAACTTCAATCCCAATGTTCAACCAGAAGCAGGCCAGTCCAATCCCTGTACTCCTGGCATCCCATCCACATTCTCGCACAAGAGCTCGCGAACCTGCTATGTGACTCATACGCTGGGCAGGCTTTTCGCACATAATCTCGTATACGTTCAGAACGATCGCTGTCGTGGCACACTCGGCAGTATTTCGATCAGGGTTCTGGAGGCTTCGAAGGAGCTGCGTGGTCGCGGTATTGTAGTAGAACAGCGCTTTTTCATGATTATCCGGGGCAGCCAGAGAAGTATGTTTGACACCACATGCCAGAAGGGCATTGAGGAGCATTGTCGACCTCAGAGCGTGATACGGAATGCTTCGGGTGAAATGTTTCTCCCGGTTGAACGAATCCATCCAAACAGCAACTTCTTCGACAAAGACTTGCATGTAATGGATTTCTTCGGCTGATGTCAATATGTTGCGGCCCACCGACTCGTTGCTTTGGGTTGCTGAAGGTTGCACATGGTCATCCTCGAAGGCTTGTTCGACAAGCGGTCTTTCAATCCGAGGCGGTGTGTCTAGCTGGGGTATGACCAAGTTTTCCGCCTCTTCTGATAACGTTTGCTGTGCCAGAGGACGGTTCCTCATCGCCATGAGCTGCTCTGGAAATACTTCTGCTCGTGGGGTCACAACAGCCTTTGTTGATGACGATGGTGTGGCTATATGGGAAGCGTCGCTCAGAGTCCGATGTTCATTCTCGTTAATCTCAAGCTTGATACCGGTATCTGTTTTGAATCTTGAGTTTTTTGAAGGTCCAGCGGCGGCGTTATCCTGAGAATAGTTGAAACGGTGTTGTGCGCCAGGTTGAAGTCTATCAGCTGATGCATCTATACCTTGAATATGAGTTGCGGTGGCTGGATACACTATTTCGTGCCGGCCATCGCTATCTTCAACGATTTCAGAAGCGTACGGCGCATATCGTCCAAGTCCGCCCTGATATTCTGAAGCAATGTCCCGCGATTCATCTTGGAACTCGACTACGACTCGGTTAGCACAAGTCATTCATCTCGGCCGGACTCCATACCTTCCCAGCCTCCAGGACTAGGTATATCGGGTGGTCGATGGAGGTTGACATCCAGAAAGTTAAGGCGTACTCCTCTTTTACATTCACGGCCTCGCTTTCGGCAGTTCATGCAATCGGGCACGGCTTCGTCACACTTGAGGTGTCTCTCACGGCATGTAAGACATCCTGTTCGGACTCTTTTTCCTTTGACTGGAGTCGGATTTGACGACGGCATGGGACTTTGAAGAGTCATCTCTCTGGGGTTTTCCATGGATAGACCTGTAGGGTCTTGGCTGATGTTCGGGGGTTCGGAGATCGGTGTCGCTCCCATATGCGAATGATGCTGAACTTCAAAATCGAACATCTCAAAGTCGAGGTTGTTGTCGATCGCATAGGGTCCTGGTGAATAACCTTGCCATTCCGCAGGGAACGGCATTGTTCGCCTTTCATTGGAGTCTTCATTTTGCATCGCCGCACCGAAACTGACACCAAGAACGGCGATGTCATTGGGGCTTGTTTGAGCAGACACTATAAGCTACCTGGCTCTCTACAGGAGGCCAGGGCAGTGGTGTGGGATTTCCCGCTCAGAATGCTGAAGTAGACGGGACAGCTTTGGAGCTTTGGTGTTGCAGAATGAATGCTTTTGCTGTTACATTTGAGGCCAGATGACCGGCCACCTACAAGTCGAAAGATTCTAGAAGATCGAACGGAAGCATGGAATGAAATCATGGCTTGGGCCAGGCCACGGCTTCTGGTCCGGTTTTCCTACCCCGGGCTCGGTATAGAAAACCGTCGCAGGTTCGGGATTGTCGTTGTGGCTCCACAGTCGGAGTAGGAACTAGGAGCGATAAGGCGGGGTGTAGTAATGAACGACCATGAACAAGAGAATGAACCGGACGGGACTCGATGAATATAAATTCAAGATTGTATCGATGTCTGTCAGCATTGGGTGCCTGAGCTTCTCTAACAGTTGAATGTGCCCGCCAGATTCCGAGCGCTGCATCACGGTTATATGGCGAATCACCATGACCTTAACCAAGGTACGCAAGCCAATAATCACGGAGCGGACTCCGGCTGTCGTGCGAGTACAGGTAGCCTCTTCTCTCGGCTGTGATTCGGAGAGCAGGCTGACTGGTACTGAGACCATTACACCGGATGGCGTCTGTGTTCAATTTCAGTTCTGTCCTGTCTCATTATTAAGAACAGAAAGGAGCATGCGTTAAAAGAGGCATGATGATGCTAGACGCTACAAGATTCAGGTGTCCGGCCATATGGCTCAACCTGCATGACAGATGCATGCAAGACTATCCACCAAAGTTGGCGACGGAGCTTATAGGACAACGCTGAAGTTGGTTCCTTGAGGGAATTTGGCTGTCACTTATGACTTGCGTGTTATATGTATGGATTACACATGTGGCGCCCGGGATTGACGAAACTCGGCTTACACGCCAATGCCTGAAATTACCGGAATCCGGAGGAGAGGGATGCTCGTATTAGGATTGAGCATGGCTTCCATCCATCCGCAGGCTTCGCTTATTGAATCGGCTGTCAATGTTGCTCGGGCACCACGATGTCTTTTCCTGCGGCAAGAGTCAGCCCCATCAGACGATGTACGATGTGAGTGAGCTACACGGGTTGAGTGGCACGGGTACACCCGAAATATACAACAATTTTGGAAATTCGGTTGTAAGTGATAGGTAGGACGAAAGCAATAGCCCAAAATAACTCGGGCTTGACAGCCAATGGTAGCACATAAAAGTACTACTTCAGAAAAGATATTTCCACTGTGGAATATACAACTTTTTTTTTTTTTTTTAGAAACCTATACAAATTGTTCATGCATGAGTTATGTATCTAGATTGTAGAAACTTAACGTTAGACTACCATGTTGTCCAAGTGTTTAGAAATCCAATCGCTGATCCGTTTGTCCGTCCCGATCAGCCATGATCCATGTATGGATGTTGGCAATGGTTCAACATGAATTTGCCACTCTAGATCTCGTCTGAAACCACTCAGAACAGAATCAAATTCTTGGTATGGCTGATATAGTCTCCGAAGTGCGTTTGAATGGATTGTTCATCAGTCTGAACATGAACGACAGGCTACCTGAGTACCTAATGTTCATAGACATGGGCTTCATACGATGAATGTCCCACAGCGACTTCTAGAAAAATAGCCCAACCCAATCAGCCCTCAGCTTCTCACCATGACTACACATACTCATCAGAAACATGGATCCTTCAACACCGACACCAAAATCTATATTGCGCGGACACAAATCTCAAATTCACACAGCAACATTCATTAGATCCAATGAGCGCCTCATTACAGGCGACGCGGATGGTTTTGTGGTGCTATGGGACCTCACGATTATGCGCCCACGTGCTGTTTGGCGTGCCCACGAAAAGGCTCTATTAGGTGTGGGCGGCTGGGGTGACGACAAAATCATCACGTAATTGCTCTGTCGAAAATCAGTAATGACTGGAGAATGTCTTTGCTGACAACAGTTTGCAGGCATGGTCGTGATTTGAAGCTCATAGTGTGGAAACTTGGCGAGGCGGAAGAGGAGCATCTCAGCACAGCATTGCCGGTGGAAGAAGTTGCAACACCAAGACCGCAACCATGGATGTTACATCTCCTTGAAGTCAATACCTTGAACTTTTGCGCTTTCGCCATTTGCTCAAGTGCGCCTGGCTCCGTCGATACCGCTTCTGAGGTGCTGATCGCGGTGCCTAATACTTTGCACTCAGATGCTGTATGGAGAACCTCAACCATATCGTGGCCAGGGCTGATACTCATAGATCGACATCTACCAATTGCCGTTGCAAAGACGGATTCATACCATCAAGGCTGGTGATAAAACGGGCATGGCCATGTGCCTTGCTCTCCTGCATCACAGAGACGCTCTCACGCTTATTGCTGCCTTTGAAAATGGTTACGCAACTGTGCACCGTCTTGAGCCTGATGACCAATGGGTCGCAACGTACCATTCCCAGGCTCATTCACAACCCGTCCTGTCGTTGAGTGTCTATAACGACTATTTCATCACGTCCAGCGCCGACTCTATCATCGCCAAACATCCTATTCCTACCGATTTGTTTTTTCCTCTGGAAGACACTGTACGCCCTGAAAGCACCGAGCGTGTAGTGGAGATAGTAGACGAAGAACCTAAGGCGAAGTCACTTCTATCTACTGGCCTGAAGTCTTCGTCGTCACAGGGGCTGAAGCCTCCTCGTAAGGGCATTGCGTGGAAAGATCCGCTCAAAACTATCAACACCAAACACTCCGGACAACAGAGTCTAGACATACGATCCGATGGAAGAATCTTTGCTACTGCAGGATGGGATTCAAAAGTGCGAGTGTACTCTACAAAAACCATGAAAGAACTCGCTGTTTTAAAGTGGCATCAAGTTGGATGTTACGCCGTTGCATTCGCTGATGTTAGGATATCGGATCAGACGGAGGAAGAAAACTCTACGTCTGACGATAGTCAACTCACGGGGAGTTCAAGCATGCGAACGGGCTCTTTGACCCGAACAGGGCTGAGCGTCAAAGAGCAACGGATAGCTACAGCGAGAAAAACACATTGGATTGCAGCAGGGGCGAAAGACGGCAAAATTAGCTTGTGGGATATTTATTAGCTATGTAAACAAGATCCTATAATGGATACTGCTTCACTAGATAGATTCGTAGCAAATTCCGTCCTGCTCTGTGAAGCGGGAAGGGAGCATGTCTTGGCGAGATGTGATCGAAATGGGCCAGCCTCACTTTCGAATAAAAGCGCAGAAGAAAAAGTAACAACGCTGATAACTTGGATCCATAATACGGTCAGCTCATAGTATCGTCAAACGTCTAACTGTACCGTTAGATCCTAATATCCTGGTGTAGGCCATTGATGTACTCACGATCATACTCCCAACATCCTCTGTCCGCGTGCCGCACTTGTCTGTGACTGACATCAGCGAGAACTGTACACTTGAAGTATTTCATGGACGAGAGCCCACCATCATGAGACGAGTCGCCGACTTGTTTCCATTCGACAGCTCAGACCATATCCTGATCACCCACGCCGTGACGAGGGCATCGCGAAGTTCCTGGGTCATCTCTGCAGTAACGAATAGACTTATACGGCCTTGTTCATCCTGGATTTCTCTCGCTATTATGTCGCCATAGCAGTCTCTCCACTCATATGCGACGCCTTTACTCCGCGATTCGCAAGCTTCGTACAGGACACCATCCGCCCGAAACTTGCGGCCTGGCCCTCTCACCATCCGCTCGAACCGAAAGCCCTTGAGCTGCCGCAGAATATTACCGGAGCGGAAACATGACACTCCAAAGCTTGTTAGCGCTCGCTGTGAGGTAGCTTCGGCATGGTACGGAAAAGACGGGAACTCGGCAGCAGTGGGATGCTTGAGATCGAAGAGGTGACGGTTTTTCAGCACGACCTGGGGAAGACCGGCCGATGTCTTTGTAACGGGGTCTACGCGCTCGACTTTGACATTGCGATCGTTATCGTGGAGGTAGCTGATGTCGTGGGAGAATTCGTAGAGCGGGGGGTCTTGGGGTTCGGTTGAGTAGATGAAGCGTCCTGCGACGAAGAGCGTTGCAGGGCCGAGGATAGAATCTTTAGGGCGGGTTATAGTGGTGGGGGTTGTGTAGTTGGGAGCAGCAGTGGTGTCGTAGGAGGGCAGCTCCAAGTCGGAATAGTTGGGCGGAGGCAGAGCCATAATTTTTGGATGCAATGATGATCGATAACCGATGATAGACTGGCTAGGAATAAATTCAATGAAATAAATAGAGAACTAAATAACAATGCAACTGTCGCGTGCAGTCAGTCAATCAATCACTGTCTACAGGACTTCTAAAGCTATTATGACGTGTATCACTACTAGGGGCGGCAACGACGGCCTAAGCCATAGCCTCAGAAGCGGAGATCAGTGGGCTCACCCTTAGGGAGCAAGAAAAGACCGGACCTTGATATGGGGTGTCAAAATAAACTTAGCAAAGAGCCCCCTAAGTTCAGGCTAGATTTCCCTGAGCATTTTTATGGCTTAGAGTCAAGGTCCTGAGTTTTCTTTCCTCCCCTTGGCTCACAACTAAGACTTCGCCCCAATTCGGGCAGTTTCACAAGGCTCAATAACAGCGTCCCAGCTTTAGTGCAACATTGATTGACTGGTGATTGGTGCATCCTGGTATTTGTGATAATTCCTGATAAATACGACGATAATACGCCAGAACTCCTATTCCACAGACCCCAGACCCCTGTCATATGCTCAGAGCTTCACACACTTTTCAGCTTCTCTACAGACGAGAACCAAGGTTGACGTGTACGGACTTTGTGTTGCTGTACGCCTCAAGTCCAGCCTCACCGAGCTCACGGCCAATACCGCTCTGCTTAACACCGCCGAAGGGGATGTAGGGTTCACTGTCTTGTGTGCTGTTAATCCAGACCATACCGGCCTCGATCTCAGAAGCGACACGGTGCGCACGCTCGACGTCCTTGGTGAAGACAGCTGCGCCGAGACCGTATGTAGAATCGTTGGCGAGCTTGAGAGCCTCCTCTTCGCTGCTGAACTTGGTGATGACAACGACAGGGCCGAAAATCTCCTCACGGAAGACTCGCATTTGGTGGTGCACGTCACCGAAGACAGTAGGCTGGACAAAGAAACCCTTCTTAGAGGCATCGACAGGCTGGCCACCAGCGAGCAGAGTAGCCCCTTCAGACTTTCCAATCTTGATATACTCAAGAATGCGGTCGTACTGCTGTCGAGAGACTTGGGGACCCTGGTAGGTCTCCGAGTCCCATTGGTGGCCGACCTTGCTCACAGTCTTGGTGGTCTCGATGAATCTCTGAACAAACTCGTCGTAGACCTTGTCCTGAACTAATAGGCGAGAAGTAGCTGTGCAGATCTGGCCCTGGTTGGACATGATGCCCATGTGTGACCACTTGACAGCCTCATCGAGGTCACAGTCGGAGAAAACCAAGAGAGGCGACTTGCCACCCGTCTCAAGGGTAATGTTCTTGAGGGTCTTGGAGGCCATCTCCATGATCTTGGCACCCGTAGCAGTTGAGCCAGTGAAGGCAACCTTCTCAACAAGAGGGTGCTGAACAAGAGGAGGACCAGCCTCACCACCGTAACCGTTAAGGGCGTTGAAAACACCAGGAGGGAATCCGACGTCCTTGAAAGCCTGACCGAGGAGAAGGATGCTGAGGGGTGTTTGCTCAGCGGCCTTCATAACGATGGTGTTACCGCATGCTAGCGCAGGACCGATCTTCCAGGCGGCCATGGCGAGAGGGTAGTTCCAGGGGATAATCTGGGCGACTACACCGAGGGGTTGGCGGAGAGTGTATGCGAGCTTGTTGGGGTTGGCGGTGATGGTTTGTCCGGTGATCTTGTCGGCCCAGCCAGCGTAGTAACGGATAGTGTTGATGACCTCGACAACATCGCCGCCCTCAGCATCGGCGTAGATCTTACCTGTCATTGTGTCAGGGCTTCGTAAACAAAGTATTTGGTAGTGCTATCTTACCATTGTCCCAGGCCTCAGAGGTAGCGAACATCTGTGTACGCTCCTCAATGTAGTCGGCGAGCTTGTTCATAAGAGCGCCTCGCTGGGGAGGAGGCATCTTCTTCCACGAGGGCGCATGGAATGCGGCATGGGCGGCCTTCACAGCCTTATCGACGTCGTCGGCGCTGGCTGCATGAACTGTGGCGATTTCCTTCTCGGTACTGGAACACTTCATATTAGCTCGAGTTGGATAACCGACTGGGGAGAAGCTAACTCACGCAGGGTCGATGGATGTAATCGTTTGCTTCGATGAGCCAGGAACAAACTCGTTATTGATGAAGAGACCGGTCGGCTGCCTATACTTGACACCGTTGGGGGCTTCGAGGTTCACGAACAAGTCCGACATGTTGCTGAAGCGTTTCTGTGTAGTTGTGATAGATCGGCCAAGAGGAGGTGATGAGAATCGGTACGGCGATTGTGTTGAAGGCCGAGATAGAGAATGGTACAGTGAACGACAGAAACCAACGAGTGGAAGTCTGGACACAAGGGCAGCGCCCATCTTCTTATAGCTCCTCAGAGACATGGCTTGAGAGGGGTAGCTCGGGGTCCAATCCAAGGCGACACCTCCGTCTTGAGTCTAGCTAGATATGTACTGTATGTATCTGTATCTGGAGTCCAAGTTATCACCTGCATCCCCCACAGTCAATGGCCTCGAGAATTACTCTCTTGAGCAATTGATAAGCTTCAGAGGCTCTCGCAAATGTGCAATTCTTTGCCTCGTTTGGGTAAAGGTCATCTACGCCGCCGGCGGATGATTGAGGGGCCGGCAATTCGAGGTTGGAGCTGTGGTTCAACGTCATGAAACCGCTTAGACCTTACTGATTGAGCTTAGTTGGACTGTTACCCAGATCAGGTAAAAAGACACGAAGCGAGGCGAGGCGAGCCAAAGCCAGCTTGGCGATCATGACAGCTCTTATCGATAACAGCTACCGAGGTTGGGTACTAATTGAAAGTCAATTGGCTTTGGTGGTGAGCTCTCTGCATGGACGTTGTACATAAGCGCTTTTCTGATGATGATGATGGATGGTTGGCTTACCTCACTACTAACCGTCAAGATCCTATTTGTTTCATGCTGAGAACATCGGTCCGTACATTGTCTTCTCGCCAATTCATAGACCGGCATCACTCCCGGACCGCATAACTCACCATATATGGTATAGTGGCAACGTCTTTGATCATGCCCCACAAGGCTGCCTGTCAAGTTGAAGCTGGCATGGATGCTAATCGAGAGGATCTTCTCGTCAATCTCGACTAAATATCAAAAAGAAAAATTGTTTTGAAAGGATAAATTCCTTCCCGAAAAGAAGCATCAGCAATGCCACCTCATGCTGTTCATTCCAACACCATCTTACCAATGTCGACTTTAGCCGTCATCATTATCGAATCCAATGTCTCCGATCAAAGTCTCCGACATGTGAGATCAGATCCTGTTCATTCAAGAGCTTATTTATCAGAAACCACCCCTTTTAAGGTCAATTCCAAGATGATCTCCAATCAACCCCTCTATCGCTTCGTCAGCAGAAAAGCTTGGCCCTCCAATACCAACAGAGCCGCTTGGATATGGCCTCATATCAGTGCATCAGTAATTGCAAACTCCGCCAGCTTTGGTCCGCCGTGGTCCGTCATTCGTCCGTGAGCGCGATTGCGGAATGACTATTCCTCCCTTTCTTACAGCAACAAAGAACCACCGAGGACGTGCCCGCGGATTAGAAACGAGACACGCAAATGATGTGACTAGCGGGTGATCACTCTCGACTTTGTTCTTAGTATGCCAAGGGTCTACGAACAAATTCCTAGAGGATCACCATCACCTCTACTCCGTAGCCTCTAGGCCGTTGTGTGTTTAGGCACTTTGATAGGACTGGTATTGCAAGATTCCCCCAGCAGGATGCTGACAGGTGAGATAAGGTGATGCCAACAAACGAGGGCTAAATCCGAGACTCTTGGTGTCTTGCAGTCCCTCATGCAGCATCGTTTTCCCATTGAGTCTTAACTCCGGGGCTACCGAAGGGTCGTCAGATTTGATCTTACTGTCCACTCCGCGTATCCAAACTTGGCTGTGCTTCTTAGCTGGCAAACTTGAGATGGCGATGTTTTATTACGTCTTATTTGGCTAATGAGGCACTTATTCGTTCCCTTTTTGGTCAAGTGAGTCATTAGATTGCCATCATCTGACCCTCTCGTGCGTGCAAAATTGTCCATCTCAAGTGCTGAGCTGGTGTTGGTTTTAACATGAAGATGATATTATATTATGCCAAGCGTTATGCGGGACCACTATGAGGTTATCTGACTTCGGGCCAAGTCTCCGTGTAAGCGATTCCAACAGGACGGATAACCTAGATAGACCCTTGACAAGATATCGACTTACACCGAATCTTCTCATACCTTAGCCAAAGAATAACAACAACACGTGGCATAGGATGGCTCTAACTATTATCACAACCTATCCTCTTTTGAGATTGCTCATTTGGAAGCAGCGTCTTTTATCCGCCAGTTCGGACCAATATTGATTGTCACAGATGGTTTCAAACTCCATCGACGCCACAAACATGCAGCTCATTTTCGGCACAACAAAGCTCCATGAGCTAAAACATCGTGCACCTCAGAATGAGTACGTACTTATGAGCAAGGCCCCGTCATTAAGGCTCATTCAGATGTCCGCAGGCATTGGCGAGTGTTTCATTGTTAGCGTCGGAGCCTTGGCTGGTTCAAGCCCAATTGGGCTTACGAGATATCATCATGGAGGGTGTAGGCGCGGACATGTGGTGGAGTCCGCCACTCCGCAGCCACTTTACTGGCTGGCTGCTTTGTCTTATGCCCGGCCGTTATGCTGACAGCCCATACTATACTATGCGCAGCACTGTGATGCGATATCGTTATGCTTGGGGCGGATTTTGTGCAGGGCCTTGACCTTAACTCCTGGGACCAGAAAAGTCAGACAGTTAGTGAGATGAGATTATTTCATTGTCCTCGTGGGTTATAAAGATAGTCGTATCTCGCTGTCAACCAAAATGTGTCAGTCTTTCAGAGCATTAAGACCAGCTCTCGAGCACTTAGACAATATTTGCCCCCTTTCCTCAGGGTTCGAAACTTCGATATAAGCTTAATTCAACATCATCTATACATTTAAGCTTATAGGTAAACAAAAATCAGCCATCATGTCTGCTGAACCAAAAACGCTCGAGGTCCCTGCGACCACAGATCGCCCCGAGTCTACAACTTCAACACTCCGAGGAGAGGATGTTCAGGAGAAGAAGGAGGAGAAACAGGATGAAGACGTTGAGGCCGGCACAGTCTCAGGCAACAACGACAGCGATGAGGTTGACGAAGATGAATACCCTACAGGCATTAACATGTTCTTCATTGTTCTTGCTCTTGTCATGGCAGTCTTTCTCTTCTCCCTTGACTTGGTAACTCACGCCTCCATAACAAGCCAACAATCGGAGAGCTAACATGGACGTACAATAGACTATTGTGGCAACGGCTATTCCCAAGATCACTGATGAGTTCAAGGGTCTTGACAAGGTCGGATGGTATGGTGCTGCTTTCTTCATGACTGTTGGTGCTTTCCAGTCAACGTGTAAGTCACAAAGCCTTGGTCCCCTTTTCCCCAACCTGTCGCTAACACTATCAAAGGGGGTAAAATCTACAAGTACTTTCCCCTGAAGACGTCCTTCATCGTCGCCATTCTCATCTTCGAGCTTGGTTCTGTCATCTGCGGTGCCGCCCCCAATGCCGAGGCCCTCATCACTGGTCGAGCCATCGCCGGCGTTGGCGGTGCTGGTCTGGGTGCTGGCGCTTACACCATCATCGGTTTCTCTGCTCCTCCTAAGAAGCGACCTGCTTTCACTGGTATCATTGGTGCCGCCTACGGCATCGCCAGTGTCATCGGACCTCTCCTTGGTGGTGCCTTCACTGATCACGTCTCTTGGCGATGGTGTTTCTACATCAACCTCCCCATCGGAGGGCTCTCTGCCGGCATCATCTTCTTATTCTTCAAGACTCCCCGTGCTGCTATTCCCGTCAAGGCTCCTCTTCTTGAGAAGTTCCTTCAAATGGATCCTCTTGGAATTGTTTTGATGATGGGCCTCACCATCTCGTATATCCTCGCTGTTCAGTACGGTGGACAGGCTCACGCTTGGGATTCCTCTGTTGTCATCGGTCTTCTCGTTGGATGGGTCGCCATCTCTATCGTCTGGGCCATCTCCTGTTATGTCCAGGGCGAGCGATCCATGATCCCTGTCCGTATCCTCAAGAACCGCACCGTCTGGGTTATGAGCGCCTTCGCCTTCATCTTCGCCGGTTCTTTCTTCCTCGCCATCTACTACATCCCCATCTACTTCCAGTCTGTTCACAACGCTTCTCCTACGAGCAGTGGTGTTCGCAACTTGCCTCTTATTCTCGCTGTCACTTTCGCTACTATTATCAGTGGAGGTCTTGTTACCGCTACTGGCTTCTACCAGCCTCTCCTCATCGGCGGTGCTGCCCTTGCGACTGTTGGTGCCGGTCTGCTATACCTCCTTGACGTTGACACTTCTACTGGAAAGTGGATTGGCTACCAAATCATTGCTGGTGTCGGCTGGGGTGTTGCCTTCCAGATTCCCATGATTGCTGTCCAGGGTACTGTCGACCCTCAGGATCTTGCTTCTGCTACCGGTATTCTTCTATGTAAGCTCTCCCTGCTGGTGTTCGTCGAGAACAAATAGCTAATTATATATAGTCTTCCAGGGTCTTGGCGGTGCCTACGTTGTGTCTGCAGGGCAGGCTGCCTTTGTTAACCAGATGCTCCTCAACATTGGCGAGAATGCTCCTCAAATCAGCAAGGGACGATTGATTCTCACTGGAGCTACCGCTCTTCGTGAATCCTTCAATTCTCAAGAACTTCCTATCGTCATTGACGGTTACATGAAGGGCTTACATATCGTCTTCGCCATGGCTATTGCCTTTACTGGCTTCTCATTCTTGATCAGCTTGCTCACTCGTTGGAACAAGCTTAAGCTTGAGAACCTTACTGGTGGTGCCGCTTAGAGTTACCGTCCCTTTCAAGCTGCATTGATCGGATAGAATCGTGGTTATGGAGGGTACAAGCTTGAGAATACTGCCTTACAGGTCGTGATGGATGATGAATACCCAAGTTGAGCCTTGGGTTCCAACACATAGAATGATGGCCAGTTGATGACTGGAGCCAGGAAAATCTCCTATTTTAGACGTCTTGATCAGTATAAAGATAATGTTTTATTTACCTTGATCGGCCATTTGTATTCTAATGAACACGATACCAGCTCTCCATGTCACGTCTGTCATATTCGTTTCCAAATATTTGAAACCTACTTGGCAGTATTCGTAGTACAGCTTATCCGTCTGTAAGCCGAGAGAAGTGACACAATGTGTTCAAGATTATAACTCCCAATGTGAAGTGCTGTCTATGATTCATCCAGCCATCATCAATTAGAAAGTCTTAAATACATGACTCAGAGCTCCATTGAATATCACTTAACGTAGTCGATGTCGCTTTGCATTGGGAAATGGAAGGGTACAGGGTAACTGCATTTCACATGCACCCGACGACCTCAACTCCAAAAAGATACCCCTGCCATCTCCAACTCCACCAAGAATTCCGACTCAAACCGTCCTCAAAACTCCGCGGCAGAAACCATCACGAGAGTTTACTGCGCCCACTAACGATGGTCCATCTCAGCATTGACTGAGGCTTTCCTTCTTTATTTATTTCTTACCCTTTAAGTTTTCGAATTATCAACACAATGCTTCCTCTACGCTTCCTCCGACATCGCTCGCCCTTTGCGACCTCTGTCCGTACGGCTTCCTCTTGCTCGACTTCCTCCCGCCTCGAGACCCTGGCCAAGTCTCCGATCCGTGTCCTCCGATCCGTCGAAGCTGTCCGTCGTTGGCGTAACCCTCATGTCGTAAATCACCGATCAGTCGGCCTTGTGCCCACCATGGGCGCTCTACATGAGGGTCATCTGGCGTTGATACGTGCCGCTGCTAAGGAGAATCATCATGTTGTCGTGAGCATATATGTCAATCCGGCGCAGTTTGGCATAAAAGAAGATCTATCATCATATCCCGTCACCTGGGACGAAGATGCAAAGAAGCTAGCTGCACTGGATAGAGAACTTGCAGACGACGGAGGAAACCTGGGTCGCATCTCTGCTGTGTTTGCGCCAACAACCCCAGAGATGTACCCCAGCGGCTTTCCAGGACAGGAAATTAATAGCAAAGGGAGCTTTGTTACAATTACGCCTGTTGGAGAAGTATTGGAGGGTGCTAGCAGACCAACATTCTTCCGAGGTGTTGCGACAGTCTGCTTAAAGCTATTCAATATTGTCCAGCCCGAGCGAGTATACTTTGGTCAGAAGGACGTCCAACAAACAGTTGTCATCCGTCGGATGGTCAAGGATTTCATCCTGCCCATGGAGGTTGTCATTGAACCCACCCAACGTGAACTCGATGGCCTTGCTTTGAGTTCTCGGAATGTGTATCTTGGGCCAAGACGAAGAGCTGTTGCCACAGTGCTTCCCCATGCACTGTTTACCGCTGCCGAAGTATATAACACTAAGGTATCGCGCAAGAGAGAAGAAATTCTTGGCGCTGCACACAATTTTATCAATGCTACGGTATCCCGCCAGTCCACACTTCCTCCTACGGAACGTGTGCTCTTCGAGGTCGACTACCTATCTCTGGCAGATCCAGAAACCTTAGTGGAAATCGATGAGGTTGATCCGTCTCGCGGAGCAGTTATGAGTGCAGCGATTAAGATGTTACCAGTGGAGCAGGCTCAGAACGGCGAGGACCTGGGCTTCAGTGGAGGTCCAGCCGTACGTTTGATAGACAATATCATCCTCAAGCCCCAAGAGCCTAGGGATTTATAGACTCTGGTAATACGAGAAACTAAACGTAAAAGGTGTACCCAAACAGACCTCAACTGTTCAAAAAACGAACCTATAACATTGGGCTAGCTAGGGGAGGTACAAAAAATGTAGAACCTCGATCCTAAGCGATATAAAGATCTAAGTAAATTAGTACAAGTTCAAGGTAGCGTCCGATGTTCTCTTGCTTCCGGGACTAGATAGGAAGCATGCTATTGTATTGACTGGATATATGTATAAATTCGCACCAGTTGCTGAATATGTTGCTGTAGCTCCAAAATGCCACTTAATCCAAAGACTGGTCGGGGATGGGCCTTCGAAAATATCCTGGACAGAACTCTCCGATGACTTAAAGATGAGCCCGGGCCCTCTCCTCTCTCTTCTTCTTAACTTGCCTTATACTCTTGTCGAAAGCTTCCTTCTCTTCGCTGTTTAATCTGCTAGGGACCTTGCCTTTTCCGCTGCGTTCACCTTCTACTGTTTCCTCCCAAAGTTTACGGCCGAGCTCATCGGTAAGTCGGAGCACACGGCTGCTAACCGTGGCGCCATCACGGCGGTTTTTGCCTTCACGTCGTGATTTGGCGATCTTCTCGGTGAAGTCCCAAAGCTTGCCTTCCGCTAGCAGCGCGCCGGTCTGGGGATCGCGAGGAGTTCGCCAGGAGGCGTCGAGCTGCACACGCGGAGGAATCTTGGAGTCTTTTGATTTAACAACGTGGAGGAGTTGATCTTGTTCGAAGCGTGTGTACGAGTTCTTCAGAGTCTCCTTATTGACGGCTTCAAAATACGAGAGATCACCCTGATGATAAAGTGTCTTGCCGAGCTAGGTATTTTGTGAGCACAATGAAAGGGCGGGAAACACAACGGCATGATCCAGTGAAACATGCGTATGAAGACTTACCAGCTGTGCGCTGTTGTGTGTTTTGCCTTGTTCAATCCAGATCTCTCCGTTTTGGCCCAAGGGGGGAGTGAGACCCATAAGAGAAACTGCTGCCAACCAAGTGGCCTCGATGAAAGGCCATATAAGGAAGCAGTAAAAATCGTAGTTCTCTCTTCCAGCCCTTCTCTCCTGGTCCGCAAGACCAACCATTGTGACGTTGCCCTCGGCGTCGCGGTCAATCCTAATAACTTCGTCTGCCTCCAAGCCTCGCAGAGTCCGATCCAGATTTGTGTCAAGACCCTCGCTAGAAAAGATGAACTCGCCTCGAAAAAGTGACGAAAGAAAGTATACTTGTTCTTTCAGCTCATCAAACGGCATGTCTTGCATTTGGGGCCCACCTCCCCTCTTGACTCTCGAATACATTGCTGCACTGACGAGTGCTTCGTAAATGAAGAGATGGATCGTCATGTTGCGATAAAATGACAGCTGAAAGCGGTCGACAGCATAGTATGTAGGCTCAGCAAGACCCTCGACCACGCCAACAAGATCTTTGCCGAGAACCTCGAGACCGCGTTCGATGATTTCGGTGAGAGGTGCATTGCCAAAATGAGCCACGCGCCCACCTTTCGCACGTACACGTTCTGTGAGCCATGTAACTCGCCGTTTCAATTCTTCCTTGCCCACTCCGCGACCGCGGAGTGTCAGAAGAACAGTCCCTATCAGTGCTGTAGGCATCACGACAGACACTTCGTTGATATCGCTCAGAACCTGATAGCCCATCGTGCGTAGAAGTTTCTCTCGTACTGCTCGGACCTCTGGACGTTGATGATCAGTATCGAGACCGCGCGGTACACTGGACAGTTTTGATAACTGGTCATCCAAGAACTTTCTTAAGCTCCAAGGCTCATGAAACCTGACATCCACGCGACCCAGGCGTAAAGAAAGGACGGAAGATCCGCCGCTCAGAAAGTCAGCAAGATTCTCCTTCTTCTTGGGCATTCCAAGTAGCTCGGTAACATAACCCTCAGTCTCAATAACTTTATCGTACTGTGTGCTGACAGGGCATATGATAGCATCTTTAACACGCCCAGATAAAATACTATCGAGTACAAAACTAAGAATCCCAAACTTTGGAGGTAACAACTTCCCTGTACGAGAACGTCCACCCTCAATGAAACACTCGAAGTTGTAGCCTTCTTGAAGTAGTGTGTCGATATATGACTGGACTAATGTGGTGTAGAGGACATCATCACCGAACGCCCTTCGAATCCACATGGCTCCTGCATGTTGAAGGAATTCGCCCAACACTGGGATGTTCAAGTTGTCCCCTGCGACCACGACCGGTAACGTAAGGCCTAAGCGGTAGCAGATGAGCTGCAGCGAGACGTAATCGACGTGCGATCGATGACTCGGTAAGAAGATGATGCTCTGTTTCTTCTTTGCTGCGACCTCAGCGACCTTCCGCAGGCGCAAAACCTCTTCACTGGAAACATGGATGCCTTGATGATATGCGCGCGTCAAGAGCTGAGTGGTCAGATAGTACGCCCCACGAATAAACGCTTTGCTTTCCATCTTGCATATCATATCGTCAGTCCACTTCTCCGCAAGTTCTTGAAGACCTGACTCAATCTCTGTGAGTCGATGGGCTCGTTTGGCGCCATAGTCTTTGCAGTCCCTCGGCAGCATACCCTCGCGCTCTTCAACAGCCACGCGGTGTTCAGCAAGCCGGCTGATTCTTTGCTGAAGAAGAGGAGCTGAGAGAACCATGTTCTTCATGTTTTCTGAGAACCCGGAGTAGAAGACAGGCTGACCAATGACACGGTCGTAAGCTCGCCATCCTTGACCAGATACATATAATGAGACTTCGCGAAGGAATCTGGAAGTAGATTTCGTCAGTTTGCGTCGAAATTATTGAGAAGGGCCAATATGTGCGAGAATGGACACGGCGATGATGAAGTAGGGCACTTTACTGGAAAGGTTCAGAGCGGAATGAGGCAAACTTGTCCATCAAAGCCTCTTCCTTTCCCTCGGGAATATTCTTGGATGGCGACTCAACATAGCCACTGGGCTGGAGGGTAACTTCATCACCCAAGATCTGAAGGTCCGGCGCTGAATTGGTCGACGCATCGACCGCGTCTTCGTTATGCGACATGGCGGCTGCTGGCTTGGAGAAGGCTTAGCTTCTTGAGTAGAGCGCGGGTAATTGAATGGTCAAGCGTTCTTTCTCATCGCAAGAAAGTGACAGAGTCACGTCACTGTCCGAGGCAGCTTCGGCTATTATGATACAGATTCCAAGAGCATTGATTGCACTGCAGCTCATTACTATGACAAGTAAGGTAAAAGGTATCCCGAACGGAAGATCCAAGTTGCGACAAGACGGGATTGGCCGAGTGGGGCAGGCATCATTTGACTCTGCCGAGCGGCATGTGAAGCCTGGACGAACCTAGGGGAAGGAGCTTGGACCGTTCATTTCCCCAGAAAATTGCCTGCACATTGGAAAACTCGGAATCGCGGTATATTTCCGCTCAACACTTTTTTTAGTTGTTAATTTTCGACATAACATGCACAAGTTACCTTACCTAGCTATCAGCCTCACTCATTAACTATGGCCAGCGCACCACAACAGGCTACGCAGAATCTGCTGGCCAGAGCGCATTCCCCCGACAGCGTGAATCGCATATACTCGGAAAAGATCCAGCATCGCTCGCTCATCCTGCGGCCAACCTCTCCTCCACCTTCCACAATCAACGCGCGCGCCGCACGTCGAAAGGCTCGCCAAGATAAAAAGGAAAAGCAAAAGCAGAGACCCAAGCCACTATCGTCTCGAGAGAAACGAAGCTTAGGCCTTCACGACATACCTAAAGATGGCCAGAAATACCACATCTATGAGCCTCTAAGTCAAATGTGGCTTGGATATGCTCGAGAGCTACTGGGGAACGATCTTTCGACTGGAGGGCCAAGTGCAGCAGCGAAACTAGCCAGCGCTGAGTTTCATGGTGCTCCCATTCAGGTTGTTCGAAGCCATTGCCCGAGTCGCGTCGGCATTCAAGGTGTTGTCGTCCGCGATCGCAAGTTTGTCTTCGAGATTATAACCAAGAAAAGAGGAGTGAAGGTTGTTCCCAAGGAAGGCACTATTTTTCGAGTCGAAATAACGATTAGTGATGGAGCCTTTGATGGTGAGACCGGACTGAACAAGAAGTTTGCTTGCGAGGTTCTCGGAGATCAGATGATGCTGAGGGCAGCAGACCGCGCCAACAAGAAGTTCAAAGCACACTTTCTGTCAAATATTTGAGCGCCTTCTAGCATCGGGATCATAGGTTACCGACAAGGCCATGCGGGGCGTTATGGATGACGTCGATGTCTCTTATGCTGATTGAGCATTTGACAAGGCAAATCAATCGGGTGATGGCAAAAGTATCGTTAACCGGGTACTGAAGCATCCAGGTGGGCGTGGTGTTATCACCTACTTTTACTCTGCGAACTATGTGAAAAACTGTGTGCCCATCCCTACACATAGAGTTCTGCCACGACACATGTGTCTCGCTTTGCAGCCGTCATGATACCACATTTATGGAGGGACAAAGAGTGTCAAGGCTCAAGATACACAATGTCAGTATTAACTGGGTTATGATCTTTACGCCTCGGTATCTCAAACTTTTTTTTAGGGTTTCTCGCAAGCCACAGCGCAACTACGCTGGAACTTACAGGTCTGCATTTACCTGTATCGCCAATACTAGCAATAACCACAGTTGTACAACGCCAGTCAGATACAACACCTCGAGAGAGTACGTTTGAGTAGTATTCAGTGGCCAACACTCATCAATAGTTCTCATGGAGAATGGGTAGAGGGTACAAACTAACATGAATAGTGTTAGGTAGACTTGAAGGCACCGCAAAATGCGACATCTCTGTAAATAGAGTCTAGCGATTTACTCAACGACCTTTAATAGAGCCATGACGTGGAATCGTCGCCTCGCCGGAAACATGGTCATTGAATAGCAGATCACACGAGGCAGACTCAGAGAGTTCAGCCTATCGCCACGCCTCAAGGGGGCGTAGAAATGAGCTCATAACTGATGCCGTAATTACCTAGTAGGCAAATGTCATTGCATGGAAGATTCACGATAAAAATGCGTTGGAGTATAATTACCAAGACCTCCAAAACATCTACAAGTTTCAATTGGCTTTTATTGATCTTATCATATTCCAAAAATGGCCTATTATCTTGTTCTTGATAAGATATTCTTCTCTTTAGCCCTCCAGTTCTTTTCACGTCTTAGGGGACGAAAGAAAACTTAGGACCTTGATCCTAAATGACAAAAAGACTCAGGTAATCTAGTATAAACTTAGGATTACCTTTTACTGGGCTTATTTTAACACCCTATCTCAAGGTCCGATATTTTCTTGCTTCCCGAGGGACGTCTCATACAAAATTGCACAACCTGACAGTTTCGTTTCGCTTCTGGCTAACTGTGTGAAGCCCTATAGTTGCGCCATCAGAACAATGCTACGCATTTCCCGATATAAGGCAATACGAATCATGATCACCATGCTAACCCATAGGCTTCAGCCCTAAGGGATGTGTCATGTGGCGTGCATATTTGGTAAAGGCTAAAGCCATTCGTGGGGAGGGAGATCGCGTCGCGCTTCTTAAGGTGTCGCGTGTGACGTGCCGTATCTAAGAATGTCATACAGTCCCTGAATGTGATACAGCACGTGACCCTCCTATGGTTTTCTGAGATACCTTGAGGTATCATTTTTCGATGGTGAAGTGCTAGGTCTTTGCCACATCGAATAGACGATTAGGTAGCCCAATTTTCAAATCGGTGTCCGTACCGAGGCTGGATATTAATTGATGCATCGAATGGAATCCTTGACCCATTCGGCTGGTAGCCAATAGTCTGGTATCTAGTTCGACCAGTTTCCCGAGATCAAGCCCTGATGACAAAAATATCAAAACTCGACTTCGACACTTTCAATGGCTTTCTGCTGTTTGTCCCCATTTTCGTTTACTAGGAACCAGCCCTGACATTCAATATGCTGGTTTGCTAGCAATATATGCCGGTAAATTCTCGGCCGTAGTCCTGTGTAGCTGCCACTTTGAGTTCTTAGAGCGGGCTGTAACAACTACTAATTAACCCCACTAATCAGAAGCTGCCAGTTAGGTGGCTAGATGACCAGGACAGTGCTATTTGATGAACCCACCAGTAGGCTGTAACCTGAGGGACAGTGTATGGCCACTTGTAAACTTTGGTACCTCACTATCTGATACATGGTTTCCCAAAACCCTTCCACTCGATTTTTTTCGTTGCCCCGTTTAAAGGTCACTCAAACCACAGCGTTTACATCACCACCGCAACATCACACGAAACCCTCTTCTAGTCGGATCCTCGAAAAAAGAAACATCAATCTACGAAGCCTTCACGTCGCGCTCCCCGCCGATCACAACAATTAACACTATCGTTTACGATATCGCATACCGCATCGCCCTACGCCTTTGTCTCTGGACCATCGCTTCAAGCAGCGTTTTTGTGCTCCCGTATCCTTACCTTGAACTAAAGCTTTTTGCATTACTGTTGCGCCTTCGCTCCAGCAATTTTGCCAACAAGCCTTTCTTGTCACAGTACAGCTTCTGGTCACCATCCCTCAGCTGTCACTTGCATCATCCATCCCGAATCGACCTACCATCGACCTTCGCGCCCTCGATCTTGAACGACAAAGACGTTTCTCACCCACTACTGTCCTTCCGAACTGTCAATCAATATGCCGACCAATCTTCCCTCGAGCTTTGCCTCGGCTGCCGCTGGCCAAAACGCCAATTCCAGGGGAGGAAGAGCTGATGGAAGAGGAGCTACTTCTGGAGACTGGTTAGTACTCACTTTAGTTCCCACTGAACTGCATTGTTTCCCCGGTGGTGGTTGTTCAGCGGAGACGATGGTTTTTTCGAAACCCTTGTTTGGCCTTGAGTAGCGGGACCTTGTATCATGGTGGATGTTGTGCTGCACATCATGTCCACCAAATGCTCCGCGTGTAGCCCGTGGTTGTGGCGTGCAATACCCTTTGTGCTGCACAGCGCTTGAGAATCTTAGGGCACCTTCTGCCTTGGTTTCAAGAGTAGCAAGTGTGCTTGTCTTGGTTTTAGTGAACCGTATGCCACTGTGAATATGTCAAATTTGCCTGCTGCAGTTGCACGGCCCGCCACAACTTGTCATGCCACAAACTACATATTGGTTTTCACGAACTATCACTAATTATGTCACAGGGCGAGGAGAGATGGCCGCTCTACCAATGGAACTCTTACCTTCCGACGATCATCTACAACTCCTTTGGGTCAGCCTTCTTCGCAGCCGCCGCCCTCGACGGATCACGCAGTTCAGCATCCTACCGCCGAAAGCCCTGTGTCGGCGTCTCCATCGACATATGAGCTGCCACCAGCGCGGTACACCAAAGAGGACCTGTTAGAGATGTACCGTCCACAAAGGTTAGCCGACGACCCAACTCGTCTATTTGCCACGGGGTGGAATCCTGGCCAAATGAATGGGCATACTCCTAGAGGCTGGGGTAAAAGCAACGACAATCATATTCCACAGGAACCTGGCGCGTGCTGGGATGATTCTGGAGATTCAACTCCAATGGGACTGCAGGATATGTCGTTGGAGGAGAAAGAGGTGCGCCGCCCCCCGCACTGTCCAAAGTTTGTGCTAACCACTAGTAGGCCTTCAATGAGATAAACTCGCCGCTTAAACCTCCGACCCAAAACAAAGACGCCCACCAAGGTGGCGCAAATGGACGTAAAGCATCCTTATCCCAGGGCACCTCCAATACTTTCGGCGTCAGTTCACCTTCGTCAGCTACACGACCCGGGACTCGACGACGTGAGACTATCGAATCCAATCCTTTTGGTGGAAGTGCTTTAGCATCTCCCACTGCTAATCGCTTCTCTCGTGACGATCCCTCTTACTGGTTTCAGCGTAGCAAAACCGATCTCAAAGAGGCTGAAGCCGACGAGTCCGATAGTGAGGCCTTTCCCCGTGACGCTCCTGGAAAACTCCCTCCTTTTGGAAATCTGATGCGTTCCAACACGGGCGGTATCGGGGGTACCAATCCCATCTGGCCACCCTCGAACCAGACGACACCTGGTGTAGGAGCTTT